GCTAAGTTGCCTTTGCACGGTGGGTTTAATTGCAGCTAAGATCCGCTGTTCGGCAGACGAAATGCGGTACTGCCGGGGAGCGTGGTACCCTCTTGCCTTTATTTGGTGCGTGCGCGTGCTCATGTGCGTGCTTGCCACGGAGCGTATCGCGACCCCACCTGAAATACGGGAAAGACCTTGCTGCGCTAGGCATGGCCACGCTGTCTGCGAAGGCGGTAATGGCAAGGTGAGGAACTGACGCTCACCTTCCCGCAGAAAACATGGAGCCATTGGGTTTTTTTTACAGCTTTCCTTCCAGCATGTCGAATGACTGAGCCGCAGGCCTTTCAGACACAGCTGCTTGAGAGACAGATTCTGTCAAAAGGTACTAAGAAGCCCCTAATGGTTGCGGTCATTGCAAGGAAAATAAAGATAGTTGTGTTTCTCCGCAGACTCTCGAGCGGCCGTGAGGTGCGCGCAGCTGCTTTGGCTGACCTGCGTAATGGGGGACCCGTGAATACCAGCTTTGGAGGAAAGAACTTTTAATCATTCTGGGTGTCCCAGTTAGTAAAACCAAGTACTGTGAAAATAAGTTGATGTATTTTCTACTGTGAGAATAAGAGTTTATCTGGAGTTTTTTATACTATATGGTGTATTTTTATATATGAAAAGTATATATAAAATATACACAAGCTCGCACACATCATGTATCTCTTGGAGTTGCTGTGGTTTTTAGTAACACAGCAGCCACAATCACTTCTGTGTGATTTGAGGGAGCGAATATGAGTCAAAGCCGTAAAAGGAAAAAAAAAAGTGCCAAGGGTGGCTGCTGCATTACTTCTCTATAGTGCTTATTTCGAATGGAGAATCAAGGAAATTGTGTGTATAGCTAAATTTGTGACTAAGGCTTCACCTAATATTAAAGAGCATAAAAACTCTTTTAAAATTGCTGGCATACAGCTTTGAAGTGCACTTTCCTGAACTACTCTTCCATTTCTTGTTAGACTTCCAGTTTCTAAAGCTTTTTTTGTGTACCACTAAACAGAGAACTTTTAACTTTTTTTGTGAAACTGATGTACGTCATAAAATACTTGCAGTTGTTAAATAAACAAACGTGATAACAGTGACTTTGCAGATCTCCTTAAACATTGCATTATTAAGTATTCACGTTTAGGCTTTAATTTATTCACTAAAAGCAATGCTGCTTATGCTGATTGCTTTTTGTGGCTGTAGGCTCCTGTCACACTTGTAGAAATGTTTTAAAATACTTGTATTGGCCCAGTCGTCTGTCTTTCTCTAACTTGTTAAAGGCCTGTTGATGATGGACTATTTTTAGTTTCTTAGGTTCAGCATTACCCTTTAAAGCCTTCCTGCAGAACAGTTCTGAAAGGATGCATTCCGATTCCTAGGTGGTAACGAAACTTGGTCCCTTTTCCATAGCCAAAATGTTAAGTACAGTTCCCAATGTGATCTCCATGGACTTAGTTATGCACCTGATGTTCTAGACATAATTTTAATGTGATTTGATGCCCTTCTACCAGTTGTTTACCAGAGCACTTTTTTTGGATGCTGCTTGTACTGTTTTTACTCTTAGGAGAGTGGAAGTAAGAATGGAAACAGTCAAGAAAAGATGGAGCGGCAGCGGGACTCCGTTACTGCACAGTAGCTCACGTCCTGGCTGGTCCGTCTTCTGCCCGTGGCCCGTTTCAGTCTAATTTTGTTACAAGCAAATCCTCAGGGAAACACAGTTTAACTGGAGGCTTCAGCCTAAACGGAAATGGACAATTGTGGCTGTTAAAGTCTTGCTTTAAACGGTTTTCTATGGATGACGAGGTCTGTCCACCCTGCACGCTGCCCGTGGTTTAAAGGCTTGGCAGAGGGCAAGAGGCAGAGGAGTGGGGCAACCCTGAGGATTAGTGGTAGTCGGTGCACCGCAAGCGCTAGCCACGTGCTGCAGGACAGGGTGAGAAGGGGTGCTGGAACGGAGGGCGCGGAGTCATCCCTGCGGGCTGCTGCACCTCCCGCTGCAGGCTGTATGCACAGGCAGGACCCGTGCACGGGCAGAGCTTTTCTGCCTGGGTCATCTCTGAGCGAGCGTTTGTGTGTTTTCAGCCCCTGCAGTTACAAAAGCGCTTAAAAAAAACGTTCTGGCTATGTTTTTTGTTTTGTTTTTGCAGTGTAATTGCTAGCACTCGACTTCTCATCACTGTTTTTTGCGTGCGGTTGAACTACATCTGTTAGGGCAAAAGCACATTTACAAAGTGGATTCTGTTCCAGACACAGTCAGGAGGAACCTTTCCTTCTTTTGCTTAGGGCACAGCAACAGCAATGGCCGGCGCTCCTAGCACACGACCAAGGCTCTGCTTGGACACTATCTAGACCTAAAGGCGGTAGGTTGCAAAGCCGAGTTCAGCGGCAGATTCAGCTAGAGATGCTTGTCCATAAAACGCATCAAGCACACCAAGTACCGCTAGGAGAATATACTACACAGAATACTGGAGTAGTGCAGTTGGAACGCCTGCCCTGCCTGTGCGTGCTGTGCCTCGGTAACCCGCGAGACGGTCTCCCTGTCCGTTCAGGACCCCAGGGAAGTGACAGAAGGTGCATAGTCGAGCAATTCACATCTGTCGTTTCCCTAGGTGAGAGGCAAGAAGGGTGTTACTGCACGTAAACATCCAATGAACTGAAATGTATTTACAAGTTCAGTATGTACATAAAAGACCATCATGCAGCTTGATAAATTTTGTCAGGGTAATAAAAACGTACAGCTTTGCAGTCAGTTTCCATATCCAGTGAAAACTGCTACAGCAGTTAGAGTTTACATAAAAAAAATACATTAGTAAACTGTAAAGTCAGTATGCTTTCAATACACAAACACACATTGTTCAAATATTATTGTTCACATAACACTGGAAACAAGCTTTTATACTTGCAGGTTCCTTGTCAGGCTTCAGTAGTAGTAATTAGTGCACTTTGAAACTTGCTTGGCTATCAAGTTTTAAAAAAAAAAAAACCAAAACACACCAAACCAAAACCAACCAAAAAACCAAACCACCAGTGTTTACACAGAAAGGCTCAAAGGTCTGGAAGTTGAATCTTAAATGTAAAGTCAATTCTTGCCACTCCTTGTTTCTGGAGTTGGGGGGAAAAACAAACCCAAACCCACCTACTGCACTTAACAGGCAGTTAGCATTACTGTGAAGCGTACCAGCAGAGCAGTTCGTATCCTGCCTTCTCCATCCCGATGCATGTTCAGGTGCCTGACCGTACGTTTCCATCGCCATTCCGCATCTCCTTGGCACAATGCTGACGAGAGAGGCTGAGGGAGCCGGGCTTGTTCAGCCGGGGAGGAGGCAGCTTTGGGGGGAGCTGAGGGCAGCGCCCCCGCCCAAAAGCCAGCCTCTCCCCGCCGCCCCGTAAGCTAAGTTGCATCGAGGAAATCCCTCCCCGAGACGGAAGAGGCAAGAGCATAGCACTGATAAGGCCAACCGTTCCTTAAGGACTTCTCATGCGTTACGCAGCTTTTGGCAGGGTTGCCTAAGGCTTTCCCCGGCTAGGCCGTGCCGCCGCTTCCCTGGCCTCAGGTGTAAGACAACTGGATTGAAATCTTCCAAGGCCCCTATCGGTGGGTACTAAGCTGGCTGCCGTCCGCGGATCACAAAATGGGAGAGGAGATGCTGGGACGCTATCGAAGGCCACGCTGCAGGTAACATGGGGGGGGCGTAGCGAGGACAGTTTACAATCCCAGAACCGAAAGTTTCTGCCTGTAGTCAAATCAGAAAGAGTTAAGGTATTCCCGGCTTTCCAGTGGTAGCCATGCCGATGCAATTGTGTCCTTCAACAGCTCTGGTCCCAAACTTTAACCGCTTGGGATTAAGTCGTAACCGCATCTTGAGGCAAGCAGGGTCATCGCTAAATGGCTAATGCTGACTAATACTCGACCGTGCAAAGCAGCAGCATTTGCTACCACTGCTCAACTGAACAGTAAACACAAGCACAGCTGCTCTACAGAAGCCACTTAAAAATGTTGAGTCTAACCCCAAAATCCAAATAATTCAATCCTGTTTGAAAAACTGGCACCCATTGAGCTTAATGATGCTGACCTACGGCTACCTAATAACCTGCACATTTCATGTCTCCCCAGTCTTGAGTTTGTAAGAGATGGCTTCACGGCAGATTCTAAAACCCAAGGCAACCTTTTTACTGTGGAAAGCTCATGGCGCTAAGTCTTTTTCAGTAACAGTCTGCAGGTACAGTATAACACATCACACGTTAAAAGGCCAAAGCGCAGTGATTTGAATCCACAGGGGGGTCGCTGCTCAGGGTGTGTTATTTCATCCTGTTAAACAAATGGAACTTAATAAAATTCTTAGCAAGTCTATTGATTGCAAGATGGTAACAAACATGAACACACAGGGTTAGTGCTACTCCTGAAATATTTTAGAATACTAATTGTAAATTACTGAAGGGATCTAGAGAACCTTCTTGAAGTAATGGCACTACCCATATTGGGGGAGGCAATTTTTAAGATCTGAAATGAAGATAACAGCGATGGTGGCTGACATGTGATCTTATCTTCCAGAAAAAGGAAAAGAGCTGGTCCAGAAAAGTACAAAGTCCACTGAATTCAATTTTATACGTTACCGTACTGATGCTGAAGCATACGCACATTGTTCAGACAAAGACTGAAGGCTGCAATGCGCTGTGCCGCAATGATTTAGATCCAAGACCAGGTCCCGCACTTAGCACGGTTTTACATGCGTGCTGTCAGGAGCAGTTTCTCAATTACGCACTTGAACAAAACCTGAAAACCTGGTGTATGGGCCTGTTAGCTCGGCAAGGGTAATTAGTTCTGTTGTTTGTGTTTACCAAGCAAAAAAAAAAAAAAAATACTGCTGTGATCCGAAATGCTGAGTTTTAGAGCCCGCCTTTCCATTGTCCCCCTCCAGGAAGACCTGTTTTGTACTTGACTGCAGAACAGGACGTGAATGTCAGATCCTGAGCCATGTTGCTAGTTTTTTTCAAACCCTCCTAATGATATAATGTCCCAGCAAGCGGGTAACAGTCCAGAAGTTAGAAAAGGAACTGCCTCCATCCTTAACTTCATAGCTCAGCTCATGAGGCAAGGTCCAGATGCTCAAAGTCAGACATTTCATCGCAGTGCCTCTGAAACACAGCAGGGAAACAAGTTTAGTCACTTTGTATGCATACGAAATTACCAACCTGATTTCCAAAAAGTCCAGATCAATGCTTAGTAGGTTGAAAACCTGACAAAAGCCTGAGGAAAAGGCTACTTAGGAACAAATACTAGTGACTGCTTGAGGCTATTAAAATTGTGAAACAGAGCTGAGAGGGATCTGGCAGCCCTCCGTCCAGCCTGTTGTGAAACTCCGCTCCAGGGCACTGCGGTCCTGTGGAGCCCGTGCGATCCAGCAGCACAGCCCAGCAGAGCGGCCTGGCACCCAGAGCACTACTGGTTTATTTACAAGCAAGTATTACACCCATCAGCATTTTCGTTGGGGAAGCGTATGAGGGAGGCTGACTGAAACTTGTGACAAGTTAAAACCGGGAGTATTTAACCCTCTAGTTGTTAGAATATCCTAGTCCCACGAGGATGAAAACTGCTCTACCTTCACTCACAAGTCTGCGCTGTACTCAGGACAGGGCTTGCTGTGTCGATATTGCATGATGTACACTGTGGATTGGTGCCACCAATACAGCATCACCACTGCGAGGATATGCCATACTTGGTGGCTCGAGCCGAGGTAGTTCAACTGTCCTGCGGGGAAGAAAAAGGGCAAGCGGTCAAGTTGTTAAATCCCGCAAGAACGCACGCAATGCAACTGCCGATCAGTTTCTTCAAAACTCAACTATACCCTCCACTTGCTGGGAGGCAGTGAAAGTTCTTTAACGAACTTGATTAGAAGTTGTCTGCCTTCTTTTGATGCAAATACACGCCAACGTTTTACTCTATGTGAGAAGACTTCACGTCGAACGTGCTCAACCTGTTCTCTCACACGGAAGTTCAGGACTCGCAGCAAGGACTGTGACACTGCAGGAAGCTTAACTGCAGAAAAAAACACCCAGAAGAGAATTTCCTACCTGGGAAGTATCTTTCTGGAACTTTGGAAATATAGAAGAGAAAAGCTACAGCAGCGATGAAGTACATGACAATTACACGTGGAGCAAACTCCTGCAAAAGAAAAGGAAGCTCTCCTATTCTGTTAGGAGGTAAAAACAGGAAAAAAAAAAAAAAAAGTCCCTAAAGATAAAAAAAGAAAAAGGCATGACAAAACTGAACCTTAATTCACTGCCTACGTTATCTGTGGACAAAATCCAACAGGGAAGCAAAGGTCAAAGTTTGGGAAAATCTGAATGGGAAGAAACTTGTTTTACCACGGCCTCTCTGTTCTAATACACAAGCTACTCGGTGTTTCTGTGCAGCCTGCGGCACACATGAAATCTGTCAGTAAAAGGACATCTTCCAACACACTGATCTTGTGCAGAACGGCCAGGACGAGTGAGAAGGATGACTTCAATGCAAAATCTCATTTACCGGTTGGGATTGCAGTCGCTAGAACCCAAGGCCACAGGAGTACTACATACTGGACGGTAAATAGTCAAGCGACCCATTCATGAGTTGCTTTTTCTTTTCCTTAACGGCAAGTTTTGTTACCAGAAGCAGAGTATTTTTCTGAAGTACAGAAACAAAATGCGAACCGTACCTACCTTTCTGCTGTACCAGGAGAAACTAAAGGCGGGGGGCGTGGGGGGACAACTACTGCTTGTCTGATTTTTAGAAGGCTAATGTTAAGTCCCCTGTCTAAAGACTACACATACTCATAAATGATGCTCTTCCACATTCAACAGCAGCTCTGGACTGGGCTAAACCATCACCGCAGGGGACAGTCCTCCTGCAGGGCCAGTCTAAGAACACGCACAGTTACTGCTTACTATGGAAGGGAAATGTTCTTCAGCACAATTAGGTCCCTGGCTAATTGCAATGCTTTCTGGGCTTTTCCTATTGGGGCCTACTTTACTGTCTTTAGCTGTACTGTGCTGCTTGTTTTTCAGTAATTCTAGGTGGTAAAACAAGAACAGGAAAATAGTTCGGTAACTTCACAGTGATGTTAAATGAGGATTGCCTAAGAGACAGACAGCTGAGTAGGCAAATACTGACTTTTGCTGCCAACCCAGGGAAGAGAAGAGGAAGCAAATAACCATCCCAACAGTGTCTTGTGGTTCCCCTCTCTCCTCTGGAGCTGCACTCGTGCAGCCTGACGGGCTGCTTCCCACTCCGCAGCCGTCTCAGCTCTTCGCTCCTGTCCCTCGCCCTGGGGTGAGCGAGGGTGCGGTCGCCTACGCAGGCTGCTCTGTCCCTCGGGCAGACACCCTCAGTCACAGCGGTATCCAGTTTTCATTCTCAAGCTGCAGTTTTAAATCAGTAAAGCAGATTCTATCTACTCATCCGGTTTACTGCTTCTCAATAAACTTCTAAGTGTTTGCTTTTCGATCGTATCATCTGAAAGAATTCTGTCCTTCAAGAATTTTTCATTGCAGCTGCTTCCCCCTCATTTCCCAAAGTATAAGAGGACTGAAGGGAGAAGGCGAGTGAAAAGCAAGAGGGAATCTTATTTCCTTCTGTTTTTTCTTTTACCTGTACAATAGATGCACCAATGCCACCGTTGAGCCAAACCCAGTGGATAGTGGGGATAATTCCGTATCCAGACACTGAGCAAAAGATGATGGAGCGCAGTCTGTGCCACTGTTGTGTGAGGTAACTGGGATGAATCTGAGCAAAGAATACTGCCAAGATCATTGCCAGCACAGTGATTAAGTATACCTGACGCCAGTACTGAGAAAAAAAGAAACAAAAGCAAGTTTGTGGGTGTTGTCATCACGTGTGAAAGTAAACTCTGGGTAGAAAGTTTACAATACTAAACATAACGATACATCAATTCTCCTGTCACTGCTGTGAGCACAAATGATGGGGTCTGGACGAATGGGCACAAGGCCCTTTACCAACTGACAGTGAGGGGAAGGGACCCTATTGCTCAGGCACACCTGGCAGAACATCATTTATTCCAAGCAGTGCTTTCACCAAAAGCATTTTAAATATACCTCTGCCTACGCAGACTTGTTCAGCTACCCGATCACTGCATCCATTGCAGACATGGGCGTAATCGAGGCCTCTGAAGGGAACTAATTTTACTTGTCCTCTATTAGGTAGAGGGCAAAATAAGCTTGTTTCTGCCTCACGTAAGCTTCCTAGAGGGAAATGATGTTTGAATGGCTTGTGATGGGGACATACCCCACAACCAGCCTCATGCATCTGACAAAGGTAGGACCTGTAAAGTTTACCCTGCCTTTGCATAAATTTAAATATTTTCTTGAGGCTTGTGTGATTGACAGCTTGAAAGGAAAACCTCAGTTTGCCTATCGCTTCAGCGAGCACAGTTCTGCTCGTGTCAGAATGAACTTGTTTCAGTTTCCATCTCTGTCTCCTGGCTAATATTCTATTTGGACACCCGGCAATGCCCCCCCTTCCTACGGCAGAGAAACTACAGCAGTGAGACTGCAGGAACTAAATGTTACGTGAACAAGTGCTTCAAACTTACGTTATTACAATAAAATGCATAAAACACGCCTGACACATAGCAGCCCAGGATACCAATGGAAATTCCCGCGTAATCTAATGCCATCCATCGTCGGCTGGTCTTCTCTGAGCGGTGACAACAGAAAAGATGATATCCTACTGAGCAAAGCATACAAACCTACACAAATGTTCAAACAAGGACACGTTAATCTCTTAAAAATTAACAGCGAGTATAGCAAGCTTAAACTCTGAAGCTTAGAGCACGCGATTGACCTGTTAAATTTACATGTTTTGCAGTGCAACTGAGTGTAGGCAATTATGATTCCTGCCACTAATCAACAGAAAATAACGTAAGTTTCTCTGCCAGATTGAAGAAAGAACAAAAAACTCTGCAGGACTTGATAAGCCCGAAGTGCACAGCTAAGAAAACTGGGCTACTGAGGCCTAGACCATGAGGCCAAGCAAAAAGCCAGCAGACAAGGGAAGAAGGCCAAGTCTGCATGAGCGCAGCGGGACGATGAATTCTGCTTGGCCAAACTATGACAAGTGGAAACCAAAGCCCAAATCCACCCTGACCGCCCGGCACCCAAGTTACTTCGGTGACGGAACGCACAAGAAATCGAACTGCTACGCACACGCTGCTTATTTGCTTTGAGGCTGGTATCATATTTTTTCCCTGAGAAACGTTTTTTGTGTTTCTCTACAACCCTCAACAGGAGTAGGGAAGAGCACAACAGCAGTGCTTTCCATGCCAGCAAGGGAGTTTTTCCAGCCTCTAGCTATGCAAAGGCATCCTGTACTCTTCAGGGAATACATACAGGGCTCTTCATGCTTCTTTAGGGACAACATACTTGGCAGGACTTTGGTGGTCGAATGATGACACGCTTGAAGTCTGCTGCTGAGAACAGATTTCATCTGACACAGAAGGTAACAAGCCAGAAGCGAGCCCTGCTGCCATTGCAGCCCAGCATCAGGCCACGGCCGATTTTCCTGTTCTGGTGGGTGACCCCTTCCAGCAGCAGTTGATGCTGTCTGGGAGCCACATCAGACACTACTGAACCCCAACGCCCTGCTGAAGCTGTGAAATACGGCCTTGGGCCATTTAGTTGTTTTTCACAGACTCGCTCCTAGGCCGGCGAGGCTCAGCCCTCCCTGGTTTATTCCATATACTCAATAGGTCAACATCAACTCAGCCACCAAGATGCTCAGCCCCCTTTCAAAGGAACGCAGCTGACAGCACGCTTTGCCAGGACTGACCTGAACGTGCCTTGCTTGGCAGTCCTCCCTGCACAACACGCATGCAAGCACTGTCAGCGGGCCTCAACGCTCTCCTTCTCAGAGAAGGGGCTCCCCTGAGCGCGCTCCCCCGAGTGGGGTCCCCAGCCTGGGCAGCCGGGCCTCGGGGGTACCCGGCCCTACCTGGAAGCAGAAGAGGCAGACGGAGCAGATGACAAAGTCCTCCCGGGAGGCGCCGGCGGCCGGCAGGAC